GCAGGCAGTTGATGATTCAGTCCTACCTACCACATAATACAGTATGGAATAAGCACCATTCGTCCTGAATTTAATTATGGTCCCATGGCGCAAGTTAATGACACAACACTCCCAGGAGGTCTATGGAAAGGAACTTAGAGAGGTTGCATTCGCTGAACCACTAGCCCTACACCAAAATAATTCCTCAGTTCTGCATTACTAGACCAGCAGGCTCTTTTGCTACCACAAAAGGATTTAACTAGAATTTCAGTCCCCTCAGAAGCTTGTTTACCATCCGGTCTCCCGTTTTCTGCCAGCTTCATCTGTGCAACTCATCTTGGGTTACGTCTGGCAGATGGAGAGAGGAATCTTATTTCAAGCCTCTGCTGTCTGCAACCCAGAGCCCTCCCTGAGCAGCCTCTATTTCACCGAGGACAGAAGGGAGGAGGGATGGCTCATCAGTCCCCCAAGAGATGACAGTGTAAAGTATTCCTCAAATTTTCATCTTCAACGGCTGGTATCATTTAACTCCCTTGGGAGAGACTATGCTTTGTTGCTTAGGCTGGCAATATAATCTCTAGCTATCCCGATGCCAAAATATCAATTACAGGTTCATTTGGATGATGGAATAAATTGGACTTCAGACCACTAGACCAATGACATAAGTCGGGGGTGGAGAGGAGAGGGTGCCAGAGGGGATTAGCCCCATGACAGAAGTGAGATAAGGTAAAGTCGAATTAGCCATATCCTTGCAGATTAAGTAACTTAATTCTAAACTATCTGTCTCATGAAGAGAAGCCCACTAGCATTTGAGGAGAAACAGGTATTCCTGAAGGGGCTTTCTTCTTGGAGGTCCTAATTAGACAAATGTTAATAGTCCCAGAGCACCCCAGTTCTCCCAGCATAATGATAAGATTGAAAAAATAAGTGATTTGTAATTAAAAATAAGTGTTTTACCAGACACAAAAGGTCACATATTGTATGATTCCATTTATAGAAATACCTAGAATAGGTAAAGCAATAGAGACAGAGAGCAGATTGGTGGCTACCAGGGGATGAGGAAAGGGAGAAATTGGGGGATGACTGTTTACCAGATGCGCTGTTTTATTTGGGGGTGATGAAAATGTTTTGAAATGAGACAGATCTGATGGTTTTACAACATTGTGAATGTACTAAATGCCACTGAACTGTTCACTTTAAAATAGTTAACTTTATGTGATGTGAATTTCACCTCAATATTTTTTTTAAATGTGTTATAATTAAAGGACTCATTATTTCTCATTGCTCAACATTCAACCACTACTGGATGGTAGAAATAAGGAGGATTTTGTTCCAATTCCACAGTGATAAGAGAAATTAAACAGGTCTTCTAAATTCCACTGTTTGTCACTTTTGACCTTTCTTGTGAAAACCTCCTACTTCCCAGAATGTTTGTAGCAGAGAAGTAATCCAACCAATGACCCCTGATTTGCTTGGCGCATGTAGTCTAACTTCACAATCAGCAGCTGCAGCAGTAGCAAGAGCAGCAACTGTTTATCTGCAGTTACAAAGTGCCAGCTAGATTAGCAAAAGTCAACTGAGTAGACCTGTGTTTACTAGACTCTAAAACCCCAACCAGACCTGTGTGATCTGGCTGTGTTGTGCAGAGTGGCTTTCCGTGGTGGTGACAGCAAGGACTGCAGGTCATTTTAATTCATTAGAAGAATATGAAGACCTTGCTATTTCCACACACTTTCAGAATCAAAGAAGGTAAATTTTAACAGAGAGCAAAAGGATCTTAGGAAGAGAGGCAGCTCTTTTCTTTTTTTCTTTTTTATAGTAAGAAGAACATATGCTTCAATGTGCAGATACAAAGCAATCACCTGGTAAGTGGAAAGAGAAGCCCAAAAGCTTAGGGGGAATAAACACACATTTAAAACAGAGGTTAAAAAAAGGGACCTTAAAAGGAAACAATAAGACCAAGTAACCAAAACCATGGCTAAACCCATATTTAGGAAAAGCAGGTAGGAGGACACCCAGGCTTACCCAACACCTCTCCTTTTCACCTCCCGTCCCTCCCCCAACCACCCTTCCAAACCACACCATGTCACCGTGTTTCACGCTCTACTTCTGATCTCTAATCTTTCTGGTGTTGACCTTCTGACTTTCCCTGCTTCGGCTTTGTCTCCCCTCCCAGACCTAACACTTAGCTTTGAGCTTTCCTTGACCAGGATTTAAACATTCCTGGCACGACAGCCTTTGGTCACTTGATCCACATTCAGCCTAGCCCAGGGTTGTTTCTCTTTTGCTGTGTGCCCTTCTAGGGCATGGAAAGGTGTTCGGTTTGGTTTTGGTGTCTCCTTCCTTTCTCAGGTGTATCCTTCAAGACTACGCTTGAAATAAAAGGCTCTAGGTTGACCGAAACTCACAAATGGCTAGACAAGTTTCCTATTTAAAAGGAATCTTAAAATATAATGAAGAAGCAAAATACAGTAAATGCTTTCAAAATCCTTTAATCCTATTGCAATAAGCCAATTGACTCAGAGAACCATATATATATATATGTTGTGTTACAAAAAAACATGTGGTCCTGTCACAAAATGTTCTACACGCCACAGAAATTGCAGTATTATTTTCCTGGAAAAATTCCCAAAAGACAGAAAAAGCATCTGTTTCTTATGTTTGCCATACTTTGAGATGAAATGCAAAATGGGGAACGGGTTATGGAGGGGCCTCTATTTTCCCTCTGATAGGAATGCTGAGAGAGAAAATCAATTTTGAGCTATCTTGGGGTTAAACAACATGGATGGAAGCTGCATACCGTATGTGTGCCAGGGTGGTCCCCTGCCAGCTCGTCCTGTGTCTTGGCCACAGCAGCACATGAGCAGGATGGTGCAATCACACTGACCTGGCTCTTTCAATTACCGACTCTGGCAAGTCATTTGACCTTTCTGAGCCTGTTTTCTGCCAGGGTGGTCCCCTGCCAGCTCGTCCTGTGTCTTGGCCACAGCAGCACATGAGCAGGATAGTGCAATCACACTGACCTGGCTCTTTCAATTACCGACTCTGGCAAGTCATTTGACCTTTCTGAGCCTGTTTTCCCCACTTGTAAGATGGGAAGAGTAATATCTATTGTTTGTTACTTAATGTGGCTGTGATGGGTTGAATTGTGTCCCCCAAAAAGATAAGTTGAAGACCTGACTGATCCCCAGTACCACAGAATGTGACATTTGGAAATAGGGTCACTGCAGATGTAATTAGTTAAGATGAGGTCAAATGGAGCAGGGTGGGCCCTTAATCCAATTATGTCTTGTGTTCTTATAAGAAGAGGGAAGATGGCCATGTGAAGACACAGACACACAGCAAGAGGGCCATGTGACAACAGACACAGAGACTGGAGTGATGCAGCTGGAGGTCAAGGAATGCCAAGGGTTGCTGACAACCAGCAGAAGCTAGGAAGAGGCAGGGAATGATCCCCACCACATGTCTCAGAGGGAGCATGGCCCTAACTTGATTTTGGACATGTAGCCTCCAGAACTGTGCAACAGTACATTTCTGTTGTTTTAAACCATCTGGCTTGTGGTACTTTGTTATGGCAGCCCTAACAAACTAATATGGTAGTGAAGGTCTGATGTATTTATTTTTTGTGTATGTGTGTATTGTAACTGCAGAGAAAACGCATTTAGAATAAAGCAGGTAGATAAGAAGAAAACAACATTGCCTCTCCAAACTCACCTCCCACCACTCTCCTTCTCTCTCTTTGTGCTCCAGCACACCGGCCTCCTGCCCTGCCTGGAGCAAGCCAGATGCTTCCCTCCTTCCCTCCTTAGTGCCTTCAGGTCAGCTGCTTCCTCTGTCTAGAACGTGCCCAGGGCTAATCCTGACCTCTGTCGGTCCTCAGTGAGACCTACTTTGGCCACTCTCCTTAACACTGCTGTTTGGACTCCCACCTCACCCAGCACTCTCAATCCCCCCTTACTCGGCTATACTTTTTCTTTTTCCCATGTTCTCATGGCTTCAAATATCCTAGTAATGTACTTATTATGTGCGCTATTTATTATATCTCCGCCCATGCTAGAAAACAAGCTCCACAAGGGCAGGGATCTGCACCTGCTTATTTCATTGATGTGTACGAGCATCTAAAACAGCACCTAGTTCACTGTAGGTGCTCAACAAAGAATTTTTTAAAATCCGATATTCATTTTAAATAAACACTTTGTTACAGAAGCTGTACATGTGCATTGTAAGAAATTAGAAAAAAATAAGAAACTTCAAATTCCCACCATCTAAAACAATCTCTCAAATTGCGATAAATGAGGGTAGTTTTTATCTTCTTTCAAGTGACTCCCTAAGGGGTCCTGTCACTTGAGGAAACATGTTGAGGTAGGGATAACACCCACCTTACAAGGTTTGGGATATGGCTTAAGGGAAGTAATGTATCCAAATACTTAATACAATATTTGCCATAAGAGCAAATACAGGTAGTTTTTATTTTCTTTCCTTGACCTTATCTTTAACTTCCGTCCCTTCCCCCAACACCCAAAAAGCAGGTGGCAGATATCAGCAGCCAAAAGAAGGAGGGGAGGCAGGTAGGGAGTGCCTCCCACTCCCAGTACTCAAGACGAAGTCCCCAAACCCACAGAACCAGCTCTATGGCTCAAAAGCCCCATGAAACACCAGGCCACTAACTATTCTGAAGAATTTTATAACAGCAACAAGACAATAAGCAATGATAGTTACATTTTTATTTTGTATACTCTCTTCTATTTACAAAGCTTTTTCCTACGAAATTTTATTTTATAGCTTGAAGAACTGAGGTTCAGAGAATTTAAGTGGCGTGTTCAGGTTTACTCAGCTGGTAACAGAAGAGCTGTCAATCAAATCTATAATTGGAAGATCATCAATGACAAGGATCATTCAACTTGATATTTAGTGAAATACATACTATCCATTTCTAGAGTCCCACTCACAATAAATGAAATACTGTTTAGCACTTTCTACATAAGCTACTTCCCTCCCCATCCGCTGCACAAATGACTTACCTATTTGAATAGACACAAGGTCCTTTTGCTGTTGGATAACTCTTCACCAAAACTTTCTTCTTGCAAAAAGAAAATTCACCCTCAGTGGTAAGTATATCAGGAAGTGGGGTATATTGCTGAGAAAGCCTGGGAATCACGCTCTTGTGAACTGTTGAGAATAAAAAAAAAAAAACATCAAGAACTTCACGTCTCCAATCCTCTCTTGGGAAGCTTTTAAAAATGAATTTCTGGGGCCGGCCCGGTGGCGCACTGGATAGTGCGCCGCTTGGGAAGCGCGGCAGCGCTCCCGTCCGATGGTTCGGATCCCACGTACAGACCGGCTCCCGCTCACTGGCTGAGCGAGGCACGGGAGCAACGCCGAGGCTTGCGATCCCGTCGCCGGTCCCCGGCCCGGTACGGGGGCAACACACCGGG